ATTCAATGATTGGGAAGGTCAACCTACCCCCGAAACGGCAACATTTAATGCCTACCCTCTGTAGGCTTTGTGTATTTTATTGTCATTTATCTGTCTCGCTGCAAAAACCAATTGCACTTTAGGAACAAAAAAAAGTTGGAAGTTGAAGTTGATGTACTGTTCATTTCATTCACAACATCATCAAAAGAAAAGACAGACAGACAACTAGTGAGATGAATAATCACATTAAGGACCTTTTGACAGAAAGTTTCTATTGATTAGCCATTTGTAAAAAGTGGGGCTGCTTTTATCAAAGTTCAACATGTCCTCTGCACAGCAGAGTTTGGATTAGTCAAGAATGGAGAGAATGGGATGCTGACTGCAGTTGGCCTGGAAAAGTGAAGGAGGGTAGTTGTGTTGCCACAGAGGAGGGGGTGGAAGAGGAAAGAAAGCTCAGAGAGAGGCCTTTCATAAACTAAAGAATATCGAACACTCCCACTGAAATACAACAATTAGTCATTGATTTTCAGATAGTTACTGTCAGTGGGTGAAGTAACAGCTGCCTGCTTATTGTTTTTCACTGTACAGCCATTGTAAAGAAATGGCACAAGGTAAATGGTAAAATGGTAAATGGTTCTTTTATACAAAGCGCTTTACAAGGTTTTGGCTGCTGATTTACGCACACACTGATGTAGCAAGCTACCACTCAACCATCGGGGGTAATTTGGGGTTCAGTGTCTTGCCCGAGGACACTTGTGGACATGTGGACAGGAAGAGTCAGGGATCAAACCACCAAGCCTGTGATCATTGGACGATCCGTCCTTCCTCCTGAGCCTCTGAACCTCTGTTATTTTGGTGAAAGAGCATCATTATATATTATATACTGTATATATTAATGTGTGGACACCCACAACACCCCAAAGATGTTAAAATCACATTTTTTATTGTAAACTATACAATTAATATAGTTGAAATAATACATTCTGAACTCCGCAGTTCTGCTCCTCCTCTAGTTTATTGTATTATGTCCTTATTTATCCAAATTCTATAAATGATCTCAATGAATAATCTGTGCATCTTTCTGAACAGCTCACCGCTGTCAGAAAAGCACATAAACTCAGTTAACAGTTAATTCCCTGTGTCTTGCCAGAACATTTAAAAGATGAATGAAGGTATCCACGCTATGCCAGCAAATATTACACATAGTCTGGAAGAGGTGTGTGAGTGTGTGTGCCTGAGCAGGAGGAAACACACGTCAAAGTAATTTAATGAAAACACGGATGGTGTTTCTGCTTGGGAACTCTGCAAGTGTCACTTTGTTTATTTATTTATTAACATTTATTTAGTTCCTTCTTGCGCGTCCCTACAGTTTTTGCCTGTACTATCCTGCCGTGCCGCAAGCTGGGAGCAGATTTGATTAGCCTACTGGACAGGTCATCTTATAATAACATGTCAGGTCCAGAGTTGATTTAGAGATAATTGCTAGTAATGGGTTGGTTCCTGAGCTTTGCCTGTGCTCGGCGGGTTTCCAAAACTAGAAATGTGCAGGATTCAGGTCACAAGATGAAAAACAGTGTCTTACAATGATGATTGTTACTTTTTACTGTACCGCCCACAGCACACGACTCCCTGATTGTCATAGAGTATTTCATTCACTGGTTATATTTAACACAATGGGATTGCAAAATGAATTATGTATAATGGATTAGCAGGTGTTCAGAGTGAAAATGGCACGGGTGTTTTGGCAAAGACAGATGAAATACAATCCAGGTAGTTCAATTTGAGTAATATCATGTCCATACCAAATCCATGAGTTATTAAGGACAAAACGCTGCACACCAGTTTATAATACCATGAGACAGGATTGTACAACTGTGGCAACAATTACTTTAACCTCAAGCTTAATGATAGGCAAGTAAACAGTAGAAATACTAAAATCACGTTACAGTAATCTACCAACTGTGTGCAGTCACACATATTTGACCATGCATGACATAGTGTGTTGGCAGATGATGTCACATTGTGTTGCAGTTTAGGCTGAACCGTATTTAACGGTTTTGCCAGGTGACTGTGTTTATGCCTCCTGGGTTGGCGCCCTTACTGTGTCAACTCAGTAGTGTCATCTAAATGAACAACAGGCTTGCAAGTTTCGAATCAGTACTAATGTCAATCTGAACATGGCCTTAGATAATAATATGATAACAATGAAACAATGTCAAACCTAACCCACCCTCTTTTTGGGCCAAGAATTCAGACAGTTTAACATGGATACTTATATTGTACCGTAACAGTGCCTTGTATCAGTGCATCTGTTAGCACCTGACAAACATAAAAGCACATAAATCAAACCACACAAGTGTTAGATAGGGCTGCATGTTTTTGTGAATGTTTTTTTATGTTTAAAATGTGTGTGTATGGTATAATGGTTATGGGAGCCGCAGGAACTGCGTGAACTGGGACGCAGCTACCAGACAGAGCAACAGCCGGCATCACAGACAGGAGCCTCGCCACACATCAGGCACCCCAGCATGTGCCCAACGTGTTTACTGTTGCTAATCACTTTAAATAGTCACATTTGAGAGCCAAACTTGGGCAGGGCTGTGCTACTCAAGAGCAGCATGGTTCCTTCCTTTAATGAAATCATCTTTATTGGTTAAGAGTGGAGTTAGCTTGCTAAAGGAAAGTTCTGGCTGCTCCAAAATACAATAATTAAGCATGGAATAGCTTTTATGTATAAACTTCTTTAATTTAAGTAATTTCTGGTTCTATCTTTCTCTTTGCTCTGCCAACAAATATATTATGCAGCTTTAGCAATGGTGTTGTCTAGTCACAGGAATGAATGGGCACACTGGGAAGCTGTGTACCTGAATGGAAGGTCATGAAGGCAGTGTCCATGAATCACCTCAGCAGGGTTGGCCTGCCACAGATCCCCATGATTTATCCCCAGCAGGAAAGACCAGACATGAGAGGAGGTCAGATGCATATAGAATGCAGACGAGTACTCACATGTAGAGTCTTCACCTGTACATGCCTGTGAGGCAAGCACATACAAACATGGGGCCAAGTACCCTCAAGCATGCCTAACCACACAATCACACAAATGTACAGATATAATATAAATACACACAGATATCTCAACTTCTTTCTTACCCCCAAGGTCATTAGCAGCACAGCTATCATCTTGTTTGCTTGTAACAAGACAAACTGCCAACAAAAGGCTGATAAGCAAAGCTATCCATCTTTAGGGGCGTTTGGCGGTGCTGGTTGATTTAAATGGGTGCTAAGCAGTTACAGAGGACAAGGTGGGTATGAGGTGACTTTAAGCCGAGGACGGGTGTAAAAATGGTGATAATGTGATTCCGCGGGAATTCCCTTGCATGGTGACAAGTGAATTCGATGCAAAACAGGAGAGAGGGAAGCACGCAAATTTCTCACTGAATTACAGAGACTTATTTTGTACTCTTTCTATTCTATCTATATCCACAGGCTCCATATTGGCATATTACATATTTATTGATTTTATTCTTTAATATACATTTCCAATTTCTATCAGTTTCATTTCCAATGGGGCTGTGTATCAGAGGTACAGCATTTACTCAGTTTTTAGAGTATCATAGCTAGCAATTTCATTGCTAATAAACAAAATAACTTATTAAAGAGGATATATATATATATATATACATTTTTTTATGGAATGAATCACTTTTTTATTGCCTGTTTGTGAAGGGGTTGTAATCTCATAAAAAAGATCCCCTTGCTGGGTTTTCTGTTACCTCTGATGACCAGTATGCCAATAAGTAGCCTATGGTTTTTACATTTCATTAACAAGGACCACGCCAATGTTAGATTTTATAGTTGTTTATTATGATGAATAGTTATGGAAGGAGGTGTCAAGAGGGGAGGGATGAAAAGGAGTCGAGAGAATAGGGATGAAGGGTTCGAGAGAATAGGGATGAAGGGTTCGAGGGAATAGGGATGAAGGGTTCGAGGGAAGAGGGATGAAGGGGTCGAGAGAAGAGGGATGAAGGGGTCGAGGGAAGAGGAATGAAGGGGTCGAGCAGGTTGTTTAGGGTTTGGTGGCCGGAGTGGCTAGGAACCCGAGGGGTCGAGATTCAGGGTGACGGCCTATATACGTGAGTGCATGTGACTGGATTTGAGAAGCACAGGTGGATGGAATGAGTGAAGTTGATTGGAGGAATTGAATGAAGCACAGGTGGAATAAGTGAGGGAGGCGTGGTCCTGTTCCTGAACCTCAGTTTACATAACTCCATATAACATCTCTTAACACCACTGGCTGAAATAAAGCACTCCCTTATAAATGCATGTGCATTTAATCAGTACTTTTACAAAACGTAAAACTTTGCTTAACGTCACTCTCACCTGACGAGTACAAGCATCACTGGCAGTAGCAGCCTGAGTTATTTTCTACAAGTTTCATATTGCTGTGCTGATTTAGTAGATGCTTCAATAAGTCAGATGTAAAATTGTTCGCGGTTGAAAGCATTTTGTACAAAGTTCACAGTGGAACGACAATGTTCTTTGCATCTTAGACTGTGACACAATAATGGTGAAAGGTTATTTACAGCTGTCTAAAGAACGCTCAAAGTCGGGTGATAATTCTATATGGATTTGTAACTTCAAGTGACCCCTTTCACATTACACATAGCCATTTGACCAGCTGTTAACATAAAATATGGTTTTATTTGATATTTGATTTGCTGAGGTTCAATTAAAGCAACACTTGTAATTGCACCTGTACTTAACTTGCCTGGGAATATACAGTATGCTAAGTTTATGACAACTTAGGAACATGGGTCCAATAAAGGTGGATAATGTTCTTGATATATAGAATTCACACAATAAATTCCCGATGACTTGACATATATCAGGATATACAAAATAATTCTATTCACTGTATATAAAAAAATTGAAAGAAGCCCTGAAAAAACTAGTGAGTGGGCCGTGAGTTTGGATGTTTTTGTCAAACTACTCTTTCCAAAGTCAAGAATGAGCCTTCACACTCCACATTATCAATTGTTTTATGCAAATATTTGACTTCAGACATAAACCATGAACCATGGCAATCAAAAGAAACATTGCATACCATTGTGCTGTGATGTTACTATTTAGAGAAAGCACATTTGCAACAACACTCCAAAATAGAAGAGGATTTGAAGTATAGGACAGCTCAGCAAAGCATGTAATGAGCTTTACATATTAATTAGTAAAATCCAGTCACAGTTTGTCTGTGCAGTTACCTTCCCCATCGTCTCTTCTTGTGGTTCACACGGTAAACATGGACATTTCTCCAGCGTACTGTGAAGTTTATCAGTCCTTTTGACACCATGTGGGCATGCACTTGAACAAAATGGAAATAGGGGAAAATATTAAATATGTCATTACATCTGCAATGTGGCTGTACTGCTTACCTGCTATCAAACCTGCAGCTGAATCTCTGTGCTGTTTATGTAAGCCAGTGACTGAATCTTAATCTCCGATATTGTTTGCATTGTCACCGCTATGAAATGAATCATATACGCACCAAAATAAAAACATTAGCATTTCACATGCTAATAGAATCTTAGACTCAGACTTCCTATTTGAAACAGAAGAGTATTCTCCCTTCACAGCTTCCATCTTCCCATTTCCCAGAGACAGCAGAGAAACTTCCAGAGTAGTGTTTTGACAAGGGGTTATTAGGCTGGCCAGTTTCCCATTTAGTGAATGTAGAGATGCTGTTGTCAGAGCAGAAGGCCCGGGGCTCTGTAGAGGCCGATCCATGCCAGTGTGACATCTAATGCCTTGAAAGTGAGCTGGATGTTGTTATTCTCTTGATTTCGTATGCTGGACAGGTATCTGCAGTTCTACATGCAGTGTTAGCTTTGAAAGGTATGCATAATAAAAAAAATGAAAGCAGTTTATTCATAACATACTAAAAGATAACATTGCTCACAGAGTAGAGCATTCAGTTGTGTCTTGCTATCATTAAATACACAGTACTGATTTGCTTCAAACTGTCTGGACCACTTCCAACTGTTAATGTTCATAAATCCATTCTGGCGGCCAGGTCAATGAACTCCGCAGTAAAACTGAGCATCAGTCCAGTTCATTCTGATGTTCAGTTAGCTGTACTCTCTGCTGAATTAGGCAGAGAAGGTGGAATGTCAGACTACCAAACAAAAACAAAAAACAAAATAACTTTTTATTCATGGAATATGGCAGATTAACAAAACTTGGTGCTACAATGAAAACATATTGCACAAATCAGGGCCTGTATTTTTCAAACCTCAAAGAATTATACTTATTATAAGACTATTATAGATACTACTACAGCCATGCTAGTGGCTTTGTGGGGCTCTGCTTAAACTAAATGCTAACATGCAGACACTGACAGTTATAGCGCTAGTTTTTGTGTCTAAACTGAACCACATAGTTTTGTAGCCTAATACTAACCAAATTGCAACCACTTTTCTTTTGAAAGTCTAACCATATTTATTATTGCTAAACTAACCGCAGAGCTCGACACATTCAAAAATGGTGCTAAATCTACATATTCATCATGTATACATACAGTATATTAATAGGGATGAAATAATATGTAAATTGGTTGAAATTTAAACAAAAAAAGATGGAACAAGATGGAAATCTGGCTTCTGATTTACAAGGTACTTAAGAGAAAACTAATCAGGAGCATTTCGTAACACAGTGTAGAATACCACCCTTGACAATGCAGGCAAACAAAATCACTGCTAGCTTTATTCTCATTGTTTACACCCCTCAGCAATGTGAAAAATAATAGAAAATAATCATTTGAATAATAGCTGACAAGAAAGCAGCAGCTAACTTATTCAGAATTAATTAGTTTGAGATTATGTTGTGTTTCATCATGACCAATGCTGTGTCATTCCAAAACATTCTTTAGAACAGTTGTTCTATTGTTGGCTTTTATTTTGTATTTAATTTTTAGATTATCTCCATTGTAAGACTAAAATATAATAAACACATTAACAGTCTGAAAAGAATAAACAACGTTATGTTGCTGAAATTCCTGTCCCATTAACCTTCATGTGCCCCAGAGGCAGCTCTTCGCTCTGCTCCGTGCAGAATACCCTGCAAGTAATTTTTTTGACAGAAGCCGTGTCAATCAGCACAGAGAAGATTGAACTCGGACACAAAAACAGCATAAAGAATCTGATAAATTTTCAAAATAAAACACCCTGCGCAGACTCGTGATGGTATATCAGCGTAGTTTAAAACAGACAAAAAAAGAAACCATTTAACTAAGTAGGCTACCTAAAATGGCAGGAGCACATCAATCAATGACAAATGACCAAATCAACAAAATCTGAGCAAGTCAGCAAAATCAGGCAGGCCGTGCCCTGTGGAATCCAGATTTATCTTGTCCTTGTGGGGGGGACCTGACCCCAGGTTGGAAACCACTGTAAAAGAAAACGTATATTCAAATCTAGATGAAAATAAAAAAATAAAAAAATACTATGATTATGACTACTTAATTCAATAGTCTCTTGGTATTAAGGACAGGACTATCCCCACTAAATTTTTACATCCTTGTCTCAATCACTAGTCTTCTTCAATACAACATGATGTTCATTTAGTAAATTATGGTCCTATTTAGAGTAAAATAAATGATCAAACGGTATTATACTGCGATCTGTCCTGTCCTCCACAGATCTACCCTCTCGTCCAAATATGGTCACTTCTGGTTCTGGCCAAACTCGAGGCTCAAAGATGATCCACAAAGTGACATCACGGTTGCGTCCACTTCTTTTATTTTCTATTTTATTTATTCATTCATTCATTCATTCATTCATTCATTCGGACAGCACACATTAAGCAACATTACTGTAAATGTGCCGGTTTTAGCCTACTGTCTAATTTTAAACTGCAGTCCTTTGGCAAGATGCTTTGAAACCTTGAAAATGATAAAAATATACAGTATACAGAATTTACATCAAGACACTATGAAAACAATAACAACAAAACAGAACAATTCTCACATCATAAAACCACACAAAACATCCAGACAACAGTAAAACATCAGTACAGTTGCAGCAGACACCATTTAGACACAGCTAGCCATGCAAATAACACGAAGCAACAACACACAACCTACTTTTGTTACATGCAAACATGCAGGACAACAACAAACAGTACACATAAATAAAATACATCAATCATTATACAGTCTATGATTAGAGCAAGTAGTAGAGTTTGGTGACATCATGTAATTCCCAGCATTGCTCCCACCCACTTACACCTGACCAGAGGTATAATCAACCAGAGTGATTGAAAACACCAAGACCCTTTAACTTGCAATATAGTAACTAGTGACTACAGTTTATCTGTCAAATATATGTACTGGATTATCCCTTTAAATTGTAGTAATATAGAAGTATACAGTTGCATAACATGGAAATACATACGTACAATTTTGTAATTTACTTACATTCCGCCCCTGGTCGGTCTGTTTGGCTCATAATATTGTGTGCATATTTGATTTGATAAGCAGTGCTTTCACCTGTAAGCTCTATCATGGGATCATTTAGATCCCCAAAACCTCCAAAAATTACCTGCAACTCCTTTCAGCATAAGGTAGTAACAATGGGCCCCAGGGCAGGCTGTTATGATGGGCCCTTAGGCTACACCATTAAAAAGCACACCCTGTGTTTGTGTCTAGAGGAAAACCCTATATTGGCAAATTTATGTGCCTTATTTCCTTGTTTTGCCACAGTTTAACAACAGATAAGATTAGATGCAGTAAATAATTTAAAGCTCCTTAAATTGATTTCTTTCAATATTAGCACATTAAATTCAACAGTTGTCTTTGTGTGCTGCAGCAGCTGTGTTGCCTGCGCCTGGACGCAGCAGTCTGAAGTAAAGTACCATCATGTGATGGATTTTAGAGTCGGACTGTGTCACTAGACTTTTGTATTTGCAAAGTACAGAAGACAAAGAGAAAGTGCTGTCATTGTCAAAATCCTGAAACGTCACTACAAACAGCTGAGTGCAGCAGGTGTCCACAGTGCTGAGAAGACGCAGACTTTCACCCTTGGCAAAGTAGTGTAAGGTGAAACGGTTACTTACTATTCATGATGGGTTTATGATCCATTTTACCATGTCACTAATAAAGACCAGCTCGTAGCACGGCGGGGGCCGCTCCCATCAGGATTGGTATTGTTGGTATACACTCACCTAAAGGATTATTAGGAACACCTGTTCAATTTCTCATTAATGCAATTATCTAATCAACCAATCACATGGCATTTGCTTCAATGCATTTAGGGGTGTGGTCCTGGTCAAGACAATCTCCTGAACTCCAAACTGAATGTCAGAATGGGAAAGAAAGGTGATTTAAGCAATTTTGAGCGTGGCATGGTTGTTGGTGCCAGACGGGCCGGTCTGAGTATTTCACAATCTGCTCAGTTACTGGGATTTTCACGCACAACCATTTCTAGGGTTTACAAAGAATGGTGTGAAAAGGGAAAAACATCCAGTATGCGGCAGTCCTGTGGGCGAAAATGCCTTGTTGATGCTTGAGGTCAGAGGAGAATGGGCCGACTGATTCAAGCTGATAGAAGAGCAACTTTGACTGAAATAACCGCTCGTTACAACCGAGGTATGCAGCAAAGCATTTGTGAAGCCACAACACGCACAGCCTTGAGGCGGATGGGCTACAACAGCAGAAGACCCCACAGGGTACCACTCATCTCCACTACAAATAGGAAAAAGAGACTACAATTTGCAAGAGCTCACCAAAATTGGACAGTTGAAGACTGGAAAAATGTTGCCTGGTCTGATGAGTCTCGATTTCTGTCGAGACATTCAGATGGTAGAGTCAGAATTTGGCGTAAACAGAATGAGAACATGGATCCATCATGCCTTGTTACCACTGTGCAGGCTGGTGGTGGTGGTGTAATGGTGTGGGGGATGTTTTCTTGGCACACTTTAGGCCCCTTAGTGCCAATTGGGCATCGTTTAAATGCCACGGCCTACCTGAGCATTGTTTCTGACCATGTCCATCCCTTTATGGCCACCATGTACCCATCCTCTGATGGCTACTTCCAGCAGGATAATGCACCATGTCACAAAGCTTGAATCATTTCAAATTGGTTTCTTGAACATGACAATGAGTTCACTGTACTAAAATGGCCCCCACAGTCACCAGATCTCAACCCAATAGAGCATCTTTGGGATGTGGTGGAACGGGAGCTTCGTGCCCTGGATGTGCATCCCACCAATCTCCATCAACTGCAAGATGCTATCCTATCAATATGGGCCAACATTTCTAAAGAATGCTTTCAGCACCTTGTTGAATCAATGCCACGTAGAATGAAGGCAGTTCTGAAGGCGAAAGGGGGTCAAACACAGCATTAGTATGGTGTTCCTAATAATCCTTTAGGTGAGTGTATATTGTAAGTGCTGTTATTCTGTTGGGCACCACAGGCATTGCTATGAGCAGAGTGATGACAAAAGACATTTCAGCTGTGTCCATAGTGTACTGTACTCAAGTGCTGATGAACATGTGAGATATGTCTGAAGCATCACCCAGATGAAAGCAATTTTGGAATGTAAATATAATCTATTAGAGAGCAGTTGGGTGACCTGCTTATCTTTTTGATTTTGATGTCTGTTTAGCGTATTACAGTTGGATAAAATAAAGATATACAGCCAGATGAAGAGTTCTGAGCCAATCTATGCTGGCATTGTGTGTTTAATAAGGAGTCTCCAGACTCCTTCTTGGTTCCTAATGATGGTCTGTATACATCTCAACAGTTCTGTCAAACATATGAGCTAATTTGACTCCTCCAGTAGTAGTAGTAGTAGTAGTAGTGTGTAACAGAACAGAAATCCAACACATGGATAAAAGCAGAGTTTGATACATACTTTTTAAAGCATGCAGGTGTAAGGCAGAGCAGATGGTGATATAAGGGTAAACTTTGGAGTCAGCTTCAGTGCATGACAACAATTAAATTAACAAATTAAAGTCAGGTTGTTCCCTAAAGCCTATGTTTCAGGTACTGGTGAAACTTTAGTATAATACTAAGAGAAGTAAACAAAAAAGTTGAGAATCCAGAGGAAAATGGCCTATTGACACATGTCAGCTGTTTAAGGAGTAAATCAGTTTTAAAGAACATTTAAATACAGCGATTTACTATGAAACGACCGGCACACAATACTGTAGAATCAAATTAAATTAAGTTTTTGAATAGTTCCATTTAAATTACATTTAAGATGCAAACAGAGTGATTGAGCTTGTAAAACAAAACATTAACATAAATTTGGGAGAGATTAGTTTGATTTAGTTCTTATTAACACTTGGCTTGAATGAAGCCAGGACAGAGAGAAATCTAATAAAGTGCACACATTACAAAACAAAGACAAACCCCCTGCTGACACCGAGGGCAAGCATGCAGGCAGGAATAAATCAGATCTCCAGCCAGGCAGATAAAGTGTATTTCACACTCAAGGAGTGGCCTACTCTGCGCAGCACCAGGGATCATTAATCTCTAGGAGACAAGCTCTCTGGCCTGAAGCTGGCACAGGTAGACCTGAGCCGGCTGGGACCAGGCTACGAGCCTACAGCACTAATGGGCTCGTTGTGTTATCAGTTGTCAGATAGTACAGAGCTGATGGTGTTGACCTAAATGGAAGCGTACCCCTGCCAAGAGCCACAGGGCCCCCGTGCAGCAACTTCAGCTGTGTTTGTGCTGGATCTGGAGCTACACTGCCACTGGTTGGATCTGGACACCGAGATAAGACTGCTAGGGTGAAAGTTTGGGCTGTAGCATGGTACAACTGCTACTAGAGGGAGCACTGTTGGGCTCATTATTCAAAAGTAATCTATTATTTATTAGTCATTACTCATTTAAAAAGTAATAACTGGATTTCACTCACTATTCCACAGGAGCAGTAACTGTTCTGATTCCTCTCCAAAGCTGCCAACTTCATTCTCTCCTCTCTTCAACATAACCCTTACACCTGTGTGCTCTATCTAATGATCAATAGAGACCAATAACATTGATTTGTAATACTCTGGATCAGTAAAATCTACTTAATGGAAATATTTCCACCCACAGAGATTAAACTTGACTGTCTTTTATATCTCTAATAGCAGCCGTTTGTCCAATGAAAGCTAATTATGATGAAACTGAATTAAACATGCACACTAAATGCAAAGCTTTAGCTAAATTACATGCTTTCGTAACATACCAGCAAGAAGAACAAGGAAAGTAAGGCTTTGAAAGCCAGAATTCCTTAAGTCTAAACAGTTTTAATCAGACTAAACTTGAACCTGAACCAGCAATGCCTGAAGTTAAAAGCAGTTTAAAATCAAATGCAATCACATGTTCACACTTTACTAATCCTACTGAAGGTTAGATCTATCAGATGTTTGTGCCGCAGTGTAGTCAGCCCTAACTTTTCAGTGAGATCCTCTACTACAGTTGAGTTAGAGACACTTGTGTTGAGGAACCAGTGTTAGCAAGGGTATGGCATGTAGTATTGGTATGATAACGCCGGAGTCAAATCTGTTCATTCCGTAGTGTTTGTATTGACCATGTATTGCAAATGGTTATACAGTTAAAGGTTTGATGATGAAGGCTCGATTTTGAAATAATTCTGGGATCTATAGGGGAACTAATCCTCCCTCACACAAAAATATGCTGAATCGGAGGTGAACATATACATGACCACTGGATCTCAGCAAGCCACCAATACCAAAGCATCAGTTACAGAAAGAGGAGTACAGGGAGGTCGGAGGAAGTTACAGAAGCAAACACTGTTGGGATGAGGGAATCAGGAGTGTAATAGTGATAACTGACAATTTATCACTGACCCCTAATACACCAATATGAAGGATGTTGGATGATGAATGTTGCCAAACCTCGATGAGCAAATGGAGTGTATATATTGTGCGGGTTCTGTACTTGATTTGATTGACAGATGAAGGACAGATATAGATTGCCATCTGCATCAGCAGACTTTCAGCAGCACAATGCCTGTGTTAAACTGACTCATTTGTTTTACTATATTTGTGTTTTGCGTGAAATGGAAGGGGCAAGGCAAATTATGATGGCAGGTTAAGACCAGCAATTTACTCTAAACAAAATCACATTAGCTAGTTTTCAGATGCTATTGAATTCAGCACTGCAGCCAAATACTACTCACTCAGCTCCAGGTGTGTTTGTTCAGGGGTGTCTACGCCAGAGGAGCTCGCCAGTCACAGCTGGAGCAGACATGACTCAAGAGTTCCTCAAAGTGAAAATTGAAAGTGAAAACAATTAAAGTGAAAATTGCTAGCTGAGTCTATTCCTGATTACTTCCTCGATCTGGAGGATCTTAGCCTAGCTTAGCATAAAGACTAGAAACGGGAAAAACAGCTAACTTTTTAAGGTAAAAAAAATATGCAGTTCACACTTCCAATGGTTACTGATTAAAATATATGTGTGTGTGTGTATATACATATACATACATACATATATATATATATATATATAAAAATTATAATACAAAATTATAAACGCAACACTTTTGTTTTTGCCAAAAAAGGCACATTTCTCTCAAGTATTGTTCACATATATGTCAAAATCTGTGTTAGTGAGCACTTATTCTTTGCTGAGATAATCCATCCACCTCACAGGTGCAGCATATCAAGATGCTGATCAGACAACATGGTCATTGCACAGTTGTGCCTTAGGCTGGCAACAATAAAACGCCACTCAAAAATGTGCAGTTCCATCACACAGCACAATGTCACAGATGTCACAAGTTTTGAGGGAGAGTGCAATTGGCATGCTGACTGCAGGAATGTCCACCAGAGCTGTTGCGTGTGGATTGAATGTTCATTACCATAAGCCATCTCCAAAGGCGTTTCAGAGAATTTGGCAGTACATCCAACCGGTCTCACAACCACAGACCACATATAACCACACCAGCCCAGGACCTCACATCTAGCATCTTCACCTCCAAGATCGTCTGAGACCAGCCGCCCAGACAGCTGCTGCAACAATCGGTTTGCATAACCAAAGAATTTCTGCACAAACTGTCAGGAAGCTCATCCATTAGAATAACAGAGTGTACAACTGTCAGGTATTAACCTTTTTATTTCTTGTTTAATCCATCCACAAACAGAAATTTAAAAAATGATCA